TGTTAATAATTGCAACAATACCCGGTTGTACGGTGAGGACCGTACAACCGGGTGTACAGTATATTTTGTACTTATGCATCCGGTTTTTTAATAATTCTTTACAACTTTCACCCTAATTATCATAGGTCCCTGGGCACCTTCTCTTTCTATGTTGCTCCCTGCGCACACGACTTCTTCCTTCCATTTTTTCTTTATTTCAATAATTAAAAAACTCTTCCCAAAATTGACTCAATCTGAATTCTAAAAACATTAAAGATAATGATAATCTTATTGAAATATCTTCATGACTCTATTTAACTAGTAAGGATCTAATAGTTGCATTAAAATTATTATCTTCTAAATAATAATGCTCACCAACTGTTTGTAAAAATTCCGAGGTGAATTTTTGTTCCTTTTTTGAGCAAATTTTAAATAAACTTTGTTGTACTTGAAAACAGTATTGACTATGTATATTTTATTTTTCATAATAGTTCTTTTTTGCAGTGATTTAAATGGCTTTGATGCCACTTGAATTAAGGAATTCTTGATTTGGTTTGTTATTTTCAAAGTTTTATGTTTAAATAATTTGCTATTAGATTCTATGTTCGGTTTTTATATAATGGATTCAACTATTAATGATTCTTATGTGATATTTTGAGCGGTTAATGTTATACTTTTCTATCTTTACATTTAAAATGAGCATTCACCAATTTTACAATGTGCATTCTGTCAAAATTGGTTGAGCTTTATTGTTAAGAAAAAGAAAGATTTATTCTAAGTTGTTTTTAATGAATATATGTTACATGTGTGAGTTAAAGAAATGAGTTTTATGTTATACATATATATGAGCATCACTTTCAAAACAATGAGCATTGGTATAACATTATAAAATGAGTAAAAAAATAGTTTTATGCTATACCCAAATGAGTATAATATTTACATGAAATGTGCATCAATATAACGTTTTAAGATAAGTACTATTACGGCTTACTATTCAATGAAGATTTTTTATGCTCAACAGGTTTTGAAATTTTTATTCTCAATTGCAGAGTTTCCAATGTTCAATAGAGGAAAGTTGATGCTCAATGAAAATATCTTGATGCTCAATGAAATGTCTTGATGCATATTCCAAAAGTTTAATAATAAATTAGATTCTTATATTGGAACCCATAGGCCATAGGAGTCTATTATAGACATAATTTAAAAAAAATTATATAAAAGAAAAAATAAGAAAAAGAAAGTGAATCAGAATTATGAAGCGGAGTTCACAATGCTCAACAATACTCAACAGAATAGCCCTGATGCTAATTAAAAGTTCATTAATGCTCATTTAACAAAAACCGTGATTTTCATTTAAACAGAGGATATTTTATGCTCAATGAAAATCGTTATGTTAAACTAACATAACCTTACGATTTTCATATATCAACGAACATTTTGTAATTTACGAATACTCATTTGGTAGTGATGTTAGGCTCATTTTAAAATGTCATATCAATGCATATTTCAAAAGTATCATATTACATTTAAATTGGCATATTGAAATTCATAGAAGTGTATTATAGATAAAATAATAAGTTTTTATAAAAGAAACAATAAGAAAAAAAAATTGAATTAGAAAATATGAAGCAGAGACCGTGATGCTCATTTTTAGCCTCCTAATACTCAATAAAATAGATCAGGTGCTCACTAAAAGTACACTAATGCTCATTTAGCGAAACCGTGATTTTCCACTTAAATTACCAAAATGCAATCGAAAAAAATTGGAATGTATTAGTCAATGGGCTTGTCTTCATCAGTTGGGATGGATGTACCCTACACTCGGATGTAGGGTATAGGGGCTGATTTGTTTGGCTTCTGCAAATTGAAATTTTGGGTTGAGCAATTGGATGGCCGAAAAGCACGCGGGTTGCTTTTACTCTCTATCTTTCTTACAGACAAGTTGTCTAATGCTACTACTACTGTGTCACGCCCCGAACCTACCCGAACACGTCAACAACCCGCCGTACGGTACAAATAGTCAACCACAGTCCAACACATCCATACTATACTAGCCGTCTTGAATACCATTCACACATAGTACATCAATAAACAAACATAATGTAAAATATCATTAAAGCAGCGGAAACATTAATACAAATGTTCAAGCCACACTTGGCAAACTTAAGTATACAAGCCCCCAATAATTATTCAGAAAAATAATATCCATGAGCATTAATGTAATTGTTTTTAAAATAGAACGGAGGAAGTACGAACCACGTCTTCCTTCCTAGATCTTCCCGAAGCAACGGGCACTGGTAGCAAGCTTAACTTCTACCTGAAACTGTGAGGTTAGTGGCCTCCCCGTGAAGGGGAGGTCAATACTTTGAAACATTTGAAAATTACAATGACAACTACACTGTATATAAACAATGTTTCAATTTCTAAGACCCTCAATCTAGGGTGATATTATATTATAGGCCGTAACTCTTGGTTACTCTGTTTGAAAATATACTTACTTTATATAAAGTCAAATAATCGGCCCGTGGGCCCATATTCATTTTTGAAACGTCCATCCCTATCCCCCGTGGCTATTAGTCACGATTATCATAAATCCTTAGTAAATCATCACGCCGTCCTAGGGCTTTACCCTAACGCGTTATTTCACTATTGTTGAGCCCCGCTCATTTATTATTATTACACCGTGCTAGAGCATTGCTCTAGTCACTCACATTATGCTATATCCTTACTCTAGTCATTCTACCTCATGCTAGAGCCTTGCTCTAGTCACTCCACGTTGTGCTAGAGCCTCGCTCTAGTCACCCATACGACGTGCTAGAGCCTCACTCTAGTCACGTTACTCAATTATATTTCTAGTCAAGTTCTATGCCTAGACTCAATTCATTTTAAGTAGCCTTTTAAGGCCTACTCCTAAGATAACTTAGAGCTCATGTAATTCCACCTGAAAGTATCTCTTAAGACTACTTAAGGCATAACTACACTCAATCCAATCCCTTAAGATTAATTCTATCATTTATTCGTATTAACGTCCCAACTAATATTTCAATACTAGTCGGTTAATCTTAGAACAATCGTATGCCATTGAATATTTACATGGTTGATGTGGAACATATTTGACTTTTTGATGTACGTTGTCTTTTTGCATTTTGAAGCTTAAATGACACCACATGCCACTGTCACCTAATGTGATAAATGTCACTGTTGATACAAATGAACCTCATGTTAATCGAGCAATTTTGGAGGGGCTCGAAGCTTGAAGAAGAAAAATAAAAAATAGAAAGGAAGGAAAATATGTGTCCAAAGGACCTCTTTTTAATTTAACTTTAAGATTTAACTCAAATGAAAATGTACCAACAACTTCATTACATTTTTGTGGGCCATTTAATATAATAGGAATTTTAGTGTATTTTCTAAATATATAAATTTTAATTGTTAATAATGATTTAGGTATTGACACTACATACTCATTTAATCTTGCCATAAGTTAACTATCATATATAAAGCGCAACAGAAATTTCATTAAGGAATGGAGGAATTAGTTTTTAATTCTTCTAGCAGAAACCAATTTCGAATTTCGCCTAATAAAAATACACCCTTTTGAAGACCAGTTATACTAAGACCATGAGTCAAAGAAACAACTCCAACCAACAAAAACACATGTATACACATAACATTTGACTTGTAAAACAAATTTGAACCAAGGAATTTAGATATATTGATCTTTTGCAGTGAGTCAAAATTAATATGTCACTATCTAATCTAATATAGGGGTTGTTTACTTTTTTTTTTGCATTAAGTCCTGAATGGATTAAGATGACTGTCTGGATTAAGACGTCTGTATGGATTAAGTGACACAGAGATAACAAGTTGTTTACTATAGATGCTGAATGAGATGTCTGAATTATGTTTAATGACCAAATAACCCTTCCGTCTGGAACACATGCCGAATGTATATTTCCTTTTTATTTTTTTGCTTTTTTGGAATCTCCACCATGTTTCATACCCAAAAACATAAAAAAATGTGAAGGTCTTACAGATCCATGACAGATCCATCATGCACGAACACGAAAATTGGCAACATGTTATACGGAGCAATAAACAAACAAACTAAAACTACACTGCTCATAATCTGGTGCAAACATGGATGCTAAGCTTAACAAAAAAACGGATTTACAGAAGGCAATCACAATTTCACTGCTCAATTACAGATAATTTAGCTAATTACTCCGAATAATATCATCAATTTACTAGCAAATTTGAAAAATAAACTGAACGAGAAGAGAACAATTAGATTGAGAATAAGGAAAGCCCTGCAATCTTATACTCCGTAAAAGAAATCAAGAAGAGAACAATTAGATTTAGAATAAGAGCAAATACATGGATGAAGACGATACGGAGCTTCTTTCACGATAGATCGCACACAGCTAAGGACAATCACCAAGGCCTTCGGTATTGTCGATGTTAGAGAAACGATGGGATATACAGAGGGATAGAACCGAGATAGTCAATACATGAAGTGTCTGAACGGTAAGGAGTATAGAAATTATGCTGAATAACTAAGTCAAAATATGTCTGACCGAATAAGTGAAGCTCCACATTAAGTCGCAAAGAAACAATGATATATAACTGACCGATTAAGTGATTATATCTATTAAGCCCATTCAGTTGTAAGTAAACGGGGCCATAGTGTGTTTAATGAACACTTCATTGAGTTTGAATAGTTCATAAATTTCTAATAAGTCTTAGATGAATATATGTATTATGTAAGATTGTGATTGTTGAACCAGAACCATATTATATAGTAGTATTTGTGTCTTACATGTGCTCAATTATAACAATCGTCTCCCAAGACACGGTCATTACAGAGTTCAACTGTCAAAAGAAACATAGCACACTTTAACAAATCTAAAGCTCCCATCCACTACTAAGGGAGTGAGGTACGGTCGTGAGGATACTTTTTTACACAATGAAAATGCATTAGTAAATACGTAGTATTTTGCAAATCTCCACCAAATAAAACAAAATAAACAACATGAATGTATTATTTAGAAACAGTTTCATCATTCTGGATTTTGTAGATGTGTATACAAATATGAATAGCTAGAAAGTACATAATAGTTTTTCATAAACTTAATTATAAGTGGCGTAACTATTCCGCATCGCTGACTTTGCATATGGAAATATGAAATTGAAGCTATTGAGCTCATCGAGAAGTTCTCTGTTGCAGAATTTTCTGTCCCATATACCTGCTCAAAAATAAAAATGACCGATACACATTTATAAACCTGGTCGATGAGTTTCATCAATACCTAAAACATACATAAACCATTGGAGAATGGCTTATATATGTGGGATGATTAATGTCTTGAAGCAAATCTGTCTTTTAATGAAGTTTGTGTGCATAGTTTTTTTTAGGTTTCATCATATCGTGCCAGTTACTCGTTAAAATTTAATTAAAAAAAACTCTCTCATTCATATATTAAGACTCTAAATTCAATTATAAAAGATAAAATTAATACAAAAATTTCTCTAAGTAGGAGTAAAAATAATGTTTATTTTCTAAAATAGGATTAATATGTTTTTTTCCATACTAAATAATGTTTAGTTAGTACCGCCATATATGGCATTAATAATATTGTCATATTAATGCCTCATAATGCCAAAAAATAGTAATATTTGAGAATAACAATTCTTTACTACTCCTGTATGGGTGAAAGTATAGTAATTCTATTTAGGGAAAACACATTAATTACTTCTATTCCTATTTGGGAAACTTTTCAAATCAATATTTGGAGTAGTCAAAATCTTATTTGTGAATTTGATGTCCTTAATTATAGACCTAACCAGTTTAAGGTGACTTAGGATGTTTTAATCGAACTGGTTTCAGTCCTAGATCAAAATATGTCTGACCAGACGAGACCAAATTTAGACAATAGTAGAATACACATAGAAAAAACATTTAGCAGACTAAACTTAAACAGACTAAACTGGACCAAACCCGATCAGACTAGAAAACTACAGTTCAATTAAAAACATTCTTATTAGTCGGCACATCCCTATCACTCTGAGATTTGTTAATGTTTTATGGTCGATGTTGCTTGGTTTTGTGTTGTTCACCCATATATGAGGTTGTGTGTGTGTGTGTGTTTATGGTTGTCTTATCATCACCTTCCAAGCATCATGAGGGTGGCTTGAGGGTTAGTCCCGGGGGAGGCAGAAAGAGTGGAACCATCAATAACACGTAAAGCATCGACGCCCATGACTTTATAATCTTGGTCAACAACCTTATTGACTTCACACCCCCCATGGTAATGCCATAAAGTCATCACTGTGTCTATACAATACTGCTCCATGGAGTGATGAGCTGGAGAGGTCATGAACAGTCTTGGCCTCATGTTAAAAGGAGTTGTGGCTACAAAGTCCATCAGAGATTCAAATGAGGTGAAAGGGTATTGAAATGACGATAAGGCCCCCGACTCTACCAAATCCTTGATCACTTCCATGCCTTTCACACATCTCTCAAGGTCCCTTGGGTCTTTGAAGTAGTTAAATGTGACTATGGGGTTCTCATTTGGGTCCCTACTCTTCAGCTCTAAGTGCCCTTTAGAGAAAGGGCCCTTCACCTTTTCCAATATGATACCGGCCTCGACCTTCATGTCTTTGAACAGGCCATCACCGAAAGAGCCTCTTAGGGCATTTGCTAAGGCCGCGTTTGGGGCCACATACAATCCACTCGCTGTTTCAATATAGCTTCCGAATTCAGTTATGCCGACGATTTGGACCAATGCTGTCTCCACCGGGGTAGCGGTAGGTATTAAAACTCCATTCATTGGGTTGTCGGACATGCCCTGGCCCACCATTGGTTGGTCCAGTATTACGTTTATCCCTTGGGCTTTGAGTTGATCAGACGGCCCAATACCACTCAACATCAAGAGTTGTGGGCTGCCCAATGCTCCTGCCGAGAGAATGATCTCATTCTTGAGCCCACCGTTCAAGAATGATGTGTGTTCATTGCCTTTGGAGTCTCTGAATGCAACTCCATATGCCACTGGTATTTGCCCTACATTGATGTTGCTAGCTAGTTAATGACGAATATAATTATGGATGAGATTTTTTAACATCATGGGATTGATAACATATATACTATACGATGTTTGTCCTTGAAAATAAATATATATTGCTTTGTGTATATATATATGTTACATTCTTTACTTACAACTTTACATGGCCCTAATATCATTGTTTTCATCGCAGTTTCCTCATTGAAACGTCCCAATTCAAATCAAGTTTCTACTTCTCTTTTTTGTAATATTGGAGTGGTAAAATGCACTTTTATCCGTATGAAAAGTAAATTACTACGGAGTATGTATTAATTACGTATAGTAGTACTACGTACTACGTATTAGTTTTCTATCTTACTTTTTAGGAAGATCAATTTGAAGAATTGATAAAAATGTAATCTTGATCAAACTAAAAACGTAATTATGGGACAGAGGAAGTATTCCACAACAAAACATACTGTATATGATTATAGTACTAATAAATTTTTTGTAGAGCGCGCTTTATTATTTTAAAACAAATTAAATTGCATTTCCATATGACCTATATTTTTAAAAAGCTGAATGCATAGTTTCTTCTAGTCTTAACCATATGCGATTGTAATGTTTCCTCAGAAGAACACGGATTTGCATAAAAATCATTATGATAAAACAAGAAAGATCAGAGTTAATGCATAATAGTTCTATACTTCTATAGTATTCGGAAGATTGGAGGAATAATATAGACACACCAACTTGGAAGCGGGTCTGCTTCAAATAAGATTTCACATAGACACACACCAACTTGGAATGGCATATTCAATGCACGATTAGTTGTATTAGTTAATGCATGATACGGATAGCGAGTATTGTCCCTATCATGAGTTTCCATATTTTTCACATGGTCTAATTAAATAAACAAACTTAGATTCTATGGTATGCATAAGGTACCATATCTTTGTCCACATAGACCAATGAGAATGTAGCAGTTGAATTATTTAAATCTAAATTAAAAATGATAAAGTGATGTGGTCCAATCAAATGAATGATAGGTATGGTACCCATATTTTAGAAAGGTACCGGAGTTGTCACCATATCAGATACTCCCTCCGTCCCAATTTGTTTTGCAAAGTCAACAACTTTTGGTCAACCAATAATAAAAGTCAACCCTCCGTATGGATAATTAATTCAATTTTTAATAATTAAAATTTATATATTCAAAAACTACATTAAAATCTCTTCAAAGTTTTAAACTCCAAATTAGAATATAATTAAAAATTGATATCCTAATTAAGTGAACAAAATGAGACTGTTTGACTAAGAAAAGTCAAATTTACAAATCTTTTTGAGAAGAAGGTAGTATTACAATTCAAACACGGATGGAGGAGTATAACTTTTCGATAAAACAGTTTTTTAACCAAACACAAACCAGAACAAGAAGAATATAGTGATCTGACCTGGGTAAGAGGTCCTAAACAAGATTTGGTGAACGACGGCATGCAAATAGACAGTAATTTGGGATTCGTCGGCGTACTCCAGCAAATCGGCGGCGGAATGCCGTATCCCATTCTCGTCAAAGATGGAGCTCCCCGTTTTGGTGCCTTCCAAATGCTCATTCGTCCACCCCCTGTCCGGCCCCACCCCCGCCTCCAGCAGCCCTTCTCTCACCGCCGCCTGCCACCCCATCACCCGCGGCCGGAAAGTCACTTTCCTCTCTGCCCACCCGTACGACTCGTTTACCAGCTGCGGGTCCCACCCCGCCTCTGCCACCTCATCGCTGCTGGCTCGCGTGAAGAACCCGGCGTTGATGGCCGAGCCCCCGCCGAGAACGCGCCCACGGTGGAGGTACACGCCGTCGGTGGAGATGAAGTATTGCGAGGCGGAGGATGATGAGGTGTCGAGCAGTGTGGGCCCGAACCCACTTATGTGTTGCACGTTTGGGTTGTCGTACGGCAGGCCGCCTCTCTCGAGGAGTAGTACCTTTGCGGCGGCGGAAAGCGTCGCCGCCAGTGCACAGCCGGCGGTCCCACCTCCGATGACTATGTAGTCGTAGTACCCTGCTTCCGCTGCCGCTGATGTGGCATCTTTTGCAAACGAACTGTATGGAGCTAATTTAACAAAAACGATTCAACAACAAATTATATAATTATTATTCAATTTCTCTACAATTATATAAGAGGGAATCTGAGGGTTTAACTGTCCTGAAAAATGTGTTGGTGTCTCTGCATGAATAAGCTGATTGTACTTTTCTATTCACTGTGTTGTACTGTTGTACATTTTTACCTCTTTGCACTTTAAACGTTATGTCCCTGGACGGAGGCAAAGGCTAGCATTTTGTTTATAAGCTTAAAAAAAAATCGCACAAGGGCTTTTATTTCCGGTCTTTGCTTTATTTCATTCATTCACTACATCCTCAGAGCCCCTTCGACTATCTCCTTCCGTCTCAAACGCCTGGCATCCTAAGCTTGACCGCAGTAATGGCTTTGGAGCAATTAGGTTTTTCAAGCGTCCTCCGTTGGGTGCTTATAAATACTGTTGCGCGGCTCTTAGGTCGATTTTCCGGTGCTGCCTTGTTCTACTCTGGTGAGTTTTTCTCTATTCTTTGAATTAGCCTTGTGTGATTAGTCATCTTTTCTTCGCATCTCTCGTTCATTGTCTACTTGCAATTTCCCTCTCTTTCGTTTAATTAGTTCATTGTCCAGGGAGGTTTTTGGGAGTCGGTGTTCTTGTTGCATGCCAACGATTCCTGGCCCTTAGAAAAACTGATGTTTGCAACTTATTTGTCGAACTTCAACTCCACCCAAGTGTATTTGACCTTCATCTAATACTATTCGTGACCAATGAACTTGCATCAGAACACTTCTCTTTCTGGGGCTCCACCCAAACAATATTTTGTGTCATGTATGTGTTTGTTTAAATGTCCGCATGAAGTGAAGTAATTCTTTGCTCTCAAACCTCTATTTACGCCTGCCCTATTTTTGTGTCAGATTTTTTTAAAAAAGTTCACATCTATACATCCAAGGAAGAAAAAAATGTGTGGTGATTATTTATAAAGGGTGCCCTCTGCTACGGTGTTCCTCTAAGCCTGCTTCAACTGCTCCTTATCTAATTTTGCTACATAATACTTAAGTAGAATTGGAGAAAATGATATATTATGTGTAGCATAGTTACTAATGACTATGATCAGCTGAGGTTTTGTTGGTGTTCCAGTAGGTTTACTTTTCAAGAGCAAGTTTGTGACACACATGGTTAAATGGATTATAAAAGATTAAAAGGGAACTGCTTCCCGGAGGCCCAAGATCCCCTTTAGTTTTTTGAGGAGCCTTAAATCCTGACCAAGACACCACCAAATGATCCCCCGGTTGAGTTTTCTCTTCATAATTGTGATGCACTATATCATAAGTTGGATAATCGCGTACTACCAACATAAGTTGGACAATCACGTACTTCCAATTAAAGTTGAAACCTTCTTTTGGAATTTATGGACCCTGTAATGCTTTAAGGAGGGATTTGTAATCTTTTGACACATGAGTTTTAAAACTCCTTTTGGAGACACCATATACATGGATCAGAAAAAAACGTCATATGAACTACATATTCAAAAATGTAAAGTAGCTTAGCCATTACTGATATATAAAGGCCAGGTTTATATAATAAAATTTCTTGAGGATTGAACAAACCAATATCAATCTCTGTTCTGAAAGGTTTACATGGCTAAAAAATACAGGGCATTGTGTTTCAGTTTGTGGGGTGCAAGGTTTGATGTAGTGAGTAGGAATTTTTGTTCAGAGAATATTTCCTTTCATGAAACTGTTTTTAGCAACATTATCTATCTGGAATAACTTTGAATTTTTTTTTCAGAGATTTTTTGTTTGATTTTCAGTTTCCCACCATTTGGAGCCTAATTCAACCTTGTATGTGCTTTTTGAAACCTTGTTTAGGCTGGGGAGATTGTTGGCAATTTGCGCTGAGCGTGTTTCATCTGGGAGCAAGGTAAACTCCCACATATAAATGTAAAAGTTTGAGTAATTCTGTCATTCAGAGTCATGTGTTTTGAATATGAACTTTGCACGTGGATAACATCTTTCTATGTTTCCATACCAAGAAGAAGTCCAATATGCATGCACTATGTATAATCAGAAGTAGTTAGTTGTCATTTTTAAAATGTTTAAACATCCCTTTCTTAGTGTGATAATGGAAATTAAATTGACTACTCGTATGGGTTGCACATGTCTACTCAATGCAGCTTTGGATAGCCAAAATTAGGTCTGTAATTACGGATTAGGCTACTAACAAAATGTATCCCAGAGTTTTATGAATAAGTTTACCCCCACATAAGTTTACGGATTTGCGCATAATCTTCCGGGTTCTATTTCTACCCCATGAAATGAGTGATAGTTCTCTGCAATTTAAGAACATAGTAGTGTCAAGCTTAGCTTCTTTTTTCCCATGCAATCTTTAGCTTTCAGTTGTGCATTTACCATATCCTTTGTGGATATTATAAACTGTATTCCAGCAGATAATAAACATATAAAGCCCTTAACCAAATAATTTGATACGACCCGATATGGCTTTAAAAATAAAAAGAATGCATCCTTAAGAAAAAACACGGACCCAGCGGGGCTCTAAGACACTAAAAAATTATATATAGATTTCTATATGTGCTGAAATCTGCCTTCATTGAAAGTGATGTATATTAAGCATATTGAGATTCTGGAGAACATAAATAGTCATTTTATTTCAAACACAGTAATCTTGCTTCACATGATAAGTTAAAAGATACTCCGTATAAGAGTATACGGTAGATTTAAAAAAAAAAAGAGTAAATGGCAGATTTATTGGTTATCCAAAATAAAATAATTGGGAAGGAATCATGAAAATGAAAAAGCAGCTTGTCATTTTGTTTTTGTTTTTGAAAACTTGCCTACATTTTGCTTTTAAATATTGACAAATATTTCACTCAAAAACAATGGGATACTCCAAAATCTTTAAAAACATCTTCAGGAATCATTAGGGAATTTCTACCATAAACTCCCAATTCAGCCAACCAAAGTGAAGTAATTCTTTGCTCTCAAACCTCTATTTACGCCTGCCCTATTTTTATGTCAGATTTTTTTAAAAAAAGTTCACATCTATACATCCAAGGAAGAAAAATAGTGTAGTGCTTATTTATAAAGGGTGTGCATTTTCGGGACAATTTCAACACGGTATTGTGTGTTGGCATCCTGTTTTCGAGCAAAATGATATGAAATTGATCTGGGGTGTACCAAGATAAGTCTGAATGATTAATTCAGACGGAGTATATATGGATTGAAGTAGTTTTTCTCTATATGATATGTTCGAGAATATAATATTATGCTATATATGTTGAGAAGCACGCTCGAGAGATGCATCTATTTATAGCAAGATTTCAATCAAGTTTTCGGGTCAAGACCATTTACCGGGTCAAGTATCTGTTTATTGAGTAATTATCCCATGACTATTCAGTTTCCCTTTTTCCTTGGAAATTAGTATTCATCTTGATAATCTTTAGCCTGAAAGATAATGGTGTTTTTTGCTCTATTACTTAGCCTTTGCTGGAGGAGATATTAGTTCAGAATTAAAATCGTTTGATTTAGTCTAGATGTTAATATTTTGGCTGCTCCAAATTACACCAAGTTCTTCCTGACCTGAAATTTCAAATTTCTCCCGTGCGCTACTGTTTACCATTGGGTGAATACATTTCATTAAACAACATTCCTGGTAAGGAGGATGCAGTTGGTACTCCAAGGTCAGATATCAAAGATACCCATATAATATATAGTCATCCTTTTCTAAGTTAAAAAATGAAACAAAACTCCGATGATAATTCTTGAATATTTTTATGATATTATTAGATCCAAAGTTAATGTTTCTATCACCGATTCTACTGCAACCATTGATGCATCGGTTTTTGGACAAAGCGTGGAGAAACTTCTATTGCTGACTAGCAAGCAAATTATGGAAGTGGAGCTATAGGTTTACCGCATACCAACCCGCACAAATTTAATACTTTAAATTTATATCCATGAAGTATTATAATTTGACACTGCCCAACATGTTGACTCATCTTTATAAATTATGAAGGGAAAGAAGGCATCATTTCAATATGCAAACAAACGCTTGGATAAAGAAGAATATATTGTGCAGCTAAGGTCCCAAACAAGTACCTATCAATCCAAGCCGGGACCCTCCTATACCATAACATCCTTGCATGATGCATCACATTACATTGTTACAACCAACACCGATCCATCAACCCCGCCTTCGTCAAAGATGAAGCTCCCACGCTCGGGTGAAGAGGACTCACCTGTTGATCTGAAGCGAACGAGAAAAGCTTAATCATTTGTCACTGTTTTCCACTACTTCGATTACTCCAACTATTTTTCTAGAACATTTACTTTAATTTTCTTTAAGCGCTACAACCTAATAAGTTTTGCCTATTTCTCCCAGTAAAACATTTTTGTGTTTGTTATTTCATGTGAACCTTAATCATATTATGGTTCTTATAGTCATCTTGACTATTTTATCTACCCACATATTGTAGCCTATGAATGCTTTATTATTTATGATGCTTTATCGATAAATTATTTATGTTATTTCATGTATTCAATTGTTCTATTTATACTATACTCATATTTTCACTAAACCTTTACCGATATATTGTTGTCCTTTCAATTGTGTTGGGCATTACCACGCACGCGCAACGCGCGTTATTAAACTAGTAGTAGGAAATAATCACAGAAAAATCCGTCAAATTTAATACAAACACCAAAACCTCTTGAAAATATGAGCAATGTAGTTGTTTGCCTAAAAAAGAAGACTCCAATCACCGAAAGAAAAGGTTGATCAAACCCTATTAGCTAAGGGCATCCCCATTGGTAGGATTATTAAGAGATTAAGTGAGTGACATGACAGATTTTTTAAAGGAGCATCATTGAGAGACATAAATTATTTAATGAGATTATTTGTTATAATAATCTGGGATCAAAATATGAATCCAGATTATTTTAAGATTATTTAAAAAATATACTTCGTATGTAATAGAAGTTAATGCAGGAACAAAAAAATCTGATTATTTGAAGATAATGGTTGAGAGACATAAACGAATATTGAGATTATTTAAACATTAATTATATAACAATATTTAAAAGGTAAGAATCATAGAAAAAATTGATTATTAGAGATCATGAATGGAGATGCTCTAATACTAATTGCGGGGAGAAATTCTTAAATACGATCATATATCTTTTATTTCCTAAATAGAATCATATTACTCATATTATTAAACCTACGTAATTTCTCATTCCACTTTTACCCTTTTTCGATAACTATTTCTGCACAGACCTTATCCTTCTATCTCTCCTGCGCACCATCCTTCATCAGTCATTCATTTCAATTCTTCTCCTCCTCCTCCTCCTCCCCCTCCCCCCCTCCTCCTCCTCCTCCTATTATTCAATTTTTTGGCTTTAAAACTGATTTTTCTAATTTTTCCTCCATTGCTTTGTTTTATTTTAGTTTTGACATTCAATTTGTTGATTTTTGGATTTCTATTTCAAGTTTCTGTTTCCTGATATATTGATTTTTTTTAAAAAATATTTTGGACTATGACATAAGTTTTTGCCAAGTTTATGGAATATTTTTGGACGATGATATACGATTTTGCCAAATTTATGGCAGAAATGTACTCTGACAACCATATTATGGCAAAACACTTTTTGTGTAAATCGTTTTATTATTTTTCGTCATTAAATTCTTATTTTAGTTAAAGTTATTGTTCTATTATTATTTTTTCTGTTTTTAAAAGTTTAATTGTGGACTTGATATTTTGCCAAGATTATGACAATTTTGTGTAAACTGGTCAAGATAAATCTGACAAATTTATGGCAGATCTGAATTTTTGTTTTCAAGGTAGATTTGTAAGTACTCTTCAAGACCAAATCTGCCAACTTAATGGCAAATTTACGGCGGTGGGCTATGACGGCCGTGGCGATGCTCGGAGGTGAAGTGGTGGCCCTGGATTCACTGGCGGCAAACAAGAGGATAGGATGGCGGTGGCGGAGGTGGAAGGCGATTCTGTTTGGGTGGCGACAGACGACAACAGTGCGCCGGTAGGGATGCGGCGGGTTCCGGCAAGGACGACGGTCGGCAGCGGCGGCAGTTGACGGCGTCGGCGAGGGTAGCGGCAGTCGGCGGTGGTGGGCGGCTCCGGCTCTGGAATGCTGCTACTAGCAGTTGACAATTTAGGGTTTCAATAGTTTTTTATTTTTCATTTTTAAAATTAAAAAAATTAAAGCAGGGTTATTCTTGTCCAACTAGGTTGAAATTGGTCCTATGAAAGCTGATTTTCGTTCACCGTCCTATATGTGTAATTAAGTTTGCTATTAGTCCTATTTGAGTCATTAACTCATTACCTAACGATTGATTTAGGATTCAAATGACCATACCCACTAGGTGTGTGGGGGTGCGGGTAGATTTGATCTCATTAATAGGGTGGGACACATAATTTTCTTTCAACAATTACTTCCTCTATTCCAATGTTTTAATTTGACATATTAATGAAGTGTTAAAAAAACAAAATTAGTATTGATATGTGAGTAGAATAAAGTGAAATAATATTAAGTACTAATATACTCCTTCTGTCCCGCAAAATAGTTCCCGGTTTCCTTTTTGGGCCGTCCCAAAAAATAGTTCTCATTTCCTTTTTGGATTTTTGTTGCTACCATTTATTTACCTTTTTCTTACTTAACCACAACCATACATTTCCACTTTATTCTCACTTTCTTAAACTCTAATTCAAGTCAATGCGAGAACTATTTTATGGGACGAGGGAGTAAGTTTTTTGTCAAGAAAGAAAATATGATATTCATTTTGAGATAATTCAAAAAGAGAAGTAAAAAAAACAAAATGAGACAGAAAGAATACTTTGTATTTCTTAAGACACTTTTTGAATTCTTATAATTTCAATTCCATATTTGCGGTTGCTTCTATTTTAAGAAATGATTTTTTGAAGTGGCAGAAAAAATGTTTAATAGGACAAGGTGATATGTAGTAGGAATTCTGGAGTAGTATTTAAGAAAAACATATTTTTGAAAAAGTAAAACTTGATAGCGTTTGACACAAAAATGTGTTTTATGTAATAGAAATAAGTAAAAAGCAGTTTAAAACATCTATCCATTTGCTTCCAACTTTATTAAATGTTTAATTTAATTAAGAATAAGATGTCATTTGAAAACATTCATTTCAAAAGATGCATGAAAAACACATTTTTAAGTTTTGCAAACACTAGTTTAATAACCTATATACGTTCTCATATCTTTTCGAAGTTTTTGCAAACACTCGCTTAGTGCTAGTGACCCAGGGCCGTGCTTCCTTTGAGGCTGATGAGGCAGAGGCCTCAGGGCCCATAGAAATGCTTAAAATTTAGGGCCAACAATTTAAAATTTCTTTATATTTTACACACACATATATGAACTATTAATTTGGTTGACTTAAATTAGTCCGTTGCTACACTTGAAAACCAAAGAGGCAAATATGTTGTAGACCTCTTATGATTTTGCTCCATTCACGGTTTTAGTTTTTTAACTGATAAAGTCATATGACATTTCATGTATATTATAAATAAGGCATGAAACTATGAAAGCCAGGGAGCTTTTGGAGTAATTAAAAAACTTTATTTGTCTTAAATATATCATTTTTTAAATATTTAAATTTTATTTGGTTCGTCTATTTGACTAATATGAGCATAATATGATTCAATAAATTAGTTGTTTTAATACATTTGGTTTTGTAATATTGTAATAAAATACTTTTATTTAATTGTATATTTTTGATGGTGTTTAATCTTTCACTTCAAAAACAAATTATATTACTCCCTCTGTTCTCTCATAATCATTCTCTTAGGTTTTTCACGGTTTTTTTTTAAAGAAAATAGGAGTAATATAGATGATGTAGAGTAAATGAGAAGAGAAAAGTAATAAAAAGTAGGTTAGAGAAAATAGTTTGTAAAAAAAGGAAAAGGCAATCAAAGTGAGGGTATATAGATATTGAGGTTTTTCCATAAATATACCGAAATATAACTCATGACAAAAATATTACTATAGTTACTATGCAAGTCAATATAATGATACATTTGAACATAGTCATGGTCAAGTTACTATGATAGTCACTAAGTCATACTTAGTACTTTTGTCCACAACTTTTATTTCAGTCATGTATTTGTCATTATTTCATAGATATTTTAATAGGAAAAACTTACTAAAAAGGGAAAGAGAAGGGGAAAAAGAGTGACAAATAATAATAAAAACATCTAAAAAAGAAATACGAGACAGTTATTAGATAATGGATAAAGTATGAAATATTACAATTTGTAGGGCCTTTTTATGGAGTTCGACTCAGGCTCGAGTTTACCTAGGATCGGCACTGTAGTGACCTATATACGTTCTCATATCTTTTCTTTTCTAAAATGTCATTCTCTTTTAATGAAATGAGAACTTCAGAAATGATCATATGTACGAGACATGATGAGAATACATAGTGTAGACTGCAGACTAGAGAATCAATGAGTTGAATTAAGTTTAAAACAAATAAATATGATATGGCTGTATTGACTCACTATATCCGAGTCCCAAAACTTTCTTGTCACTTGAATTGATCTCCTTAAATTATCATTAAAGATGTTATTAAAGATGTTATCTTAAAAAATGTTATTAAAGATGTACGAAGTACGATTAATAGCAAACTATAATATTATAGTTTGCTACACTAATCCTTCTTAAAATGAAATGAAAAGACGATTTTAGAACTTTCCTTGCAGAAAACTGAGAGGAAAATTTTGTGGTTGAGTAGTAATCATCATATCATAGTGATCACAACTTGCAAACATGATAAATAGATCAGAAAAATTTAGGGGAAAAACAAATTGTATATACCAAAAACACATTTTTAAGTTTTGCAAACACTAGTTTAACAACTTGAATGTACGAAGTATATACCTTTTTCTGCCCGACAAGATGTGATAATGAAGAAGAAAATTCCAAGAGAAGGTGCAACAAAGGGAAACCACCTCGCACAGCCCATATTATATATGTACTTTTTTTGGGAGGAAATATTATATATGCACTTCGATGAGTACTAAATGTACATATATATATATATATACATATATGGAATGAACAAATAACCAATGAGATCCTGTATATATAAGTTGTCAGGCAAGGACTTTCGCTACGTTAGCCATGCTTGATGTACCCACTCTTATACCCATTTTATACCCATCATGTTTGTGAATGTTTTTTTTGTCTGTGAACCCGGCCGGGTCACAGACAGTATTTTGTTTGTGCAAAATATTGTCTATGAACCGGGATTCACGGACAAAAAAACCTTTACAAACATAGGTGTATACAAAAGTAGGCATAAGAGTGAGTACAAAGATCATTTTTGCCTTAATTTATATACTTCGTACGTAGTAAGAAATATGGAAGGATATATATTAACACGGAGTATATTATTAGGATTCTGGTGTCCATATGGCCATATGAGGACGCTTTAAATAGCTCAACTCAAAAAGGCGGAATGGCCCATCTTAGGGAGTGCAATTTTGTACACCCCACTAAGGAGGGTGAACATAACCCCCTCTATATCTATGGTTGTCATGTCATTGTAAAGTATTGCCTTGCCACATGACATGCAAATAGGGGTGGGGTGAACATCACCCTCTCAAAAGAGGGTGAACAAAATTGTTCTCCATCTTAGGCACCTTCACACTCTGATCTAACAAATGATGCATAAGTAAAGAGGCAAGGGTCAAATTGGTACTTGAAGTTGCCTAAAAGGGGTCAAATAAGTCTTTATTGTCCGTCGCCATTTGAGGCGGTTGCCGGTGGAATTTTTTGATGAAAATTTTTGAGCATCTTATTCATTAAGTCTAGTTTACTCATATCAAATTTCACCAAAAACTTCAATCGGGAAGACATTCAAATGAACTCTTGAATATAACTGCGCTTTTAACTGCGCAGTTATATTCACGAATTCATTTGAATGCCTTCCCAGTTGATTTTTTAGCTGAAATTTGGTATGAGTAACTAGACTTGATGAGTAAGATGCTCAAAAAATTTCGTCAAAAAATTCCACCGGGACCATCCTAAATGGCGACGGCCGGACAAAACCTCCTATATAAGGACTTATTTGATCCTTTTTATGCAACTTCGAGTACCAATCTGACCCTTACCTCCATAAGTAAATTACCATATCATGACAGAGTTCTAAAGGAGGTGGTTCAGTGTCTAATGCGCACGAACACTACGAAAAAAATTAAATAATGAAACTAACAAGGATTTGCCAAAATTCGTAAATGATTTAATTGATGGATTCTCCTAATTCGTGCCAAAAGCATTTTGTCATTAACTATTTGATACGAAATCATCGATCAATCATACTAAACTTTTGTCAATACCATAATTTTTTATACGGAAAGAAGTCAAAGAACCACTATATGAGATAAAATTCTCTCATACTGCCACTACCGAAAATGGAACCTACATCAACTCAGATCAATTGTATCACTCGACCGCCATTGAGCAACCCTTACGGGTGGGAGCATTCAATAGCTCAACTTGTGCAAAACTTCAGGATACTACTTGTTGCTTAATTTGCTTGGTATAAGAAAATTAAAAGCGTATACTAATAATCAAATAAATAGAAAATATGTAGGATACTACTTGTATTTAGGATGTTTTTATTTGGATAAAAATTTGATGGTCTGGTTTGATCTGTTTAAATATGTTCTAGTCTGACTTGATCTGAACTGATTTGATAAATGCCTGGTTCATGTGTAAGTTATAACTATAAAATTATGATCTGGTCTAATCTACTTAAGTCTGATCTGATACGATCTGATCTGATCTGATCTTGTCTGTTCATGTCTAATTTGGTATGATCTGGACTGAAAATAGTCCAAATAAAAACGTCCTCATTGAAAATTGTCTTGTATACAACTGTCTTTCAATCAGTACTCTTTTTGAACTCCTACTATATTATGTTGCCATTGAAATGCTTATACACAAATTTCGTTAATAGACTACATCTAAAAACTAATCAAGATAATTTGATTATATTTGGGGTGACTTTTTAAAAACTACGTAGTACTACATCCGTTCCTAAAAATACTTCCCGGTTTGACTTGGCACGCTTATTAAGAAAGTGGAATAAAGTGGAAATGTATGGTTGTAGTTGTGTAAGAAAAAGGTAAAATGAATGTGAACCACACAAATTGTCCAAAAAGGGAAAACGGAAAGTATTTTTGGGAACGAACCAAAAAGGAAAGTGGGAAGTATTTTCAGGAACGAGGGAGTATTTTTTTTTTCGAAATCTATGCATGCAACGGTGTATACTGAATAATATATTTTGTTTATTAAAACAGGAAAATGAATTTTCATGTTTTTAGTGTTTTTAGGTACCATAATTTTCTCCCAAAATAAATAAGATTCTAATACTAACACTAATCTATAGATCATGAAAAACATGTGGCTTAAAAAAATATTACTAATGTTGTGTACAAAATGTTTGACTTTAAAAATAATTTTGTAATATTAACTCTTATCCATAATTATTCACGCCAAAGTTTTACAAGTGTTGTGTATTTGTTTTTCAAGAAAATGTAGCATCTTATTAAAAAAATGTCACTTATTAAGTCTTGTTCGGGCTCGGGTGGTACCATTTTAAAAAAACGGAGCCCGGTATCGTTTTGAAAAAAACGGAGTCCGGTACCGGCCCGGTGTGCTCCGGTACTAGTTCTGGTCTGGGCCTAAACGATATCAGGCCCGGGTCGGGCCCGATTCAATACCCACCCATTTAATTAGATTTTTTTTACAAACTGTAGCCTTTGGGCTCGAACCAGGCCTGGTCGGATCCAAAAAATCAAGCCCGAAGCCCGCCCCTTATAACCACCGGTCCAGGTACCTGGCCGGTACCGGACCGTTACTGGTCCGGGTACTGTGCTGGCAAGGGCCCCAAATTATCGGTCCCGGAATATCGGGCCCATTCCGGTACCAATAGTACCTGGTCGGATCGCCCAGATCCAGTCCATCTAGGGCTGCACAAGAATAACCTGAACCTGCATAACCCACCCGACCCAACCCTACCCAATCACTTTTAATCGGGTATTTGATTTTTAAAAATATTCACGGGTTAAATATGTACGAACCCGCACCTAATGGGTAGGGTTGCGGAATTAAAATCTCAAACCTGATAGTACCTGACCCGGCCGAAAGTTCAATTTATTACGAGTATTATTATGCTACAAAGTTTAGTTGGATAATTTGTATTTAAGATCAATGTGTTCTATCTAAGACTATGACTTTAGCCTTATAAAATATATAACATTTTGACTGGGTGATTAGTATATTAATATACATTTGCTTCTAAATTAATTTCCTTTACGCAAGAATGTTTTGATACTATTGCCCTAAGTTTACTCTTATAAAAAGTACTTTTATTTGTTTGTGTATTTTGAAAACAAGTTAACAGAGATCCATATTGCATGCATTAGTTGCCCATATTAAAGATTCAACCCGAAAGAAACTCCTTTCAATACCCGACCCGACCCGACCCGTTCATGCATAGTTTACCAACTTATATTTCATACCACGAAATGGTAAATAGTCAACCCGGATAATTTGAGTATGCCCAAAAAATGTAGCAAACCCGATTCAACCCGCCCGATGTGTAGCCCTAGTGTCTATCTCTAAACATCTATTCTTACTTTATGCCATTTATGGTTTTGAAAAATGAAATGGAAAACAAAAGAAATTTAAAAAACATGTGTGCAAATTTTAAAAATGGAAAACTGAAAATGAAAAAAAAAACAAAAATAAAATGGAAGAAATAAGAGTTATTACCCTAAATAAGACTAAATTATTCCCTAAATTCCTAAATAGGAGTATGACTATTTTTATTCCCCAAATAGGATCATTGTTAGAATTTTACCCCTCCCAGTCATTTTAATCGTGCCACACAGCTTCTCCGTTCTTCCCTGCAACAACAAACTGTTTGCATCATTTCTTCCCCTGCAACAACAAACTGTCTGCATCAGCCTTTGTTGTTCCTTATCTTCAACAGTACGCTGGGTGCTGATGGAAATATATGACAATTCGCGGTGAGGAACAATGAGTTGTGATGAGCGACAAAGGAGTGACGATGAGCGGTGGTGGCCAACAACAATTTTAGATTTGGTGGTGAAATTGAGGCTTGTTGTTTTCACTATCTCTTCCTTCTTCTTCGTTAATTCCTCCGCTCGGTTCTGTTTCTCTCTTTCTTCCTCTTTTATTTGATTTAAGATCATGCAAAATCGAGATGCTCATCTCCATCAGTGCCACCGACTGTCGCCCTTACAAATCCGGCAGCCATCACCGCAAATCCGCCCACTAGTATTGCAGTTGAGACCCACATCGCCAATGTGCCCAATAATTTTAGCAGAATGCCAGTAGAACCTTGTCTGCTAAAGTACGTGGATGAAAGGGAAATAGACGGGAGTGATGCTTTGCGCGCTTTTTAAAGGGATCGGTACACCGTCCGCACGGTGCACTGATCCCACGGTATAATTTGCCGTTGTTTACATTTCCCTTTTTTTGCTTTTTCTTTTGTTGTTAAAAGCCGGTTGCTTTTTCTTTTGGATATTGTAAACTTAAATTTAAAAAATTAAATTTCCCGAGTCATATATTTTTTATTTACATCATCTATATTTAATTATTTAGATAGAGAAAATGATCATGTACACATGGATGTATAGGATCGTCCGTATGGACATAGCCATCAGAGGTCCTTCACCAAGTGTTGAGAATATTGAATGAATTTGAGAGTTGAGAGTTGTTCTCTCACTAGAAAACTTCAAGGTTGCTCTACTACCTTTCTTATGCCGTCACTCGCGGTGGTCGCCGGCGCTGGAGCCCTTCTGGCTCTGGTGGATAATGGTCGGTTGTTCATTACATATTTTTGGAAAAGGCTCCACCTTGGTAACCAAGACAACCCACCAAAGGCTCCTCTTCTCCCTCTTTTCGGCGGGAGCCCAGGTTAACTTGCCAACATATAGCGATCAAGCCCACTGCTTTGGCTCTCCAGCGGTGTCGCATTTCTACTGATCTTTCAATGATGTATGAACATCAATGGTGTGTCTAGGTGTTATCCCCTAGGTCGTCTTTATCATCATCGGAAAGGGCCCAAATCTCCCGCTTCTTGGCAGGCATGTTTATCCTTCGACGTGGTAGCCTAGTCAGACCGTGCGCTGCCCCGTCAGGCTCATCTTTTGTTGAGTATTTCCTTGCTTACAAATGAATTAGCCTATGGGAGTATCATTGTCATCGTGGGCTTTTCCCACGGTATAACAACTCTTTTCATTTTATCTGCGAATCATCTCTCTGCGGTTTTCCATTATTTTCAGTGGAGCCAAAGACTCACTATATTTTGACTTGGGATATGATGGAATAAAGCAAGATGGCTCATTAAACTGTCTGCGCTTCTTTGTTATGAAGTAATCGTCAGTCTATGCATTTTTCGACGCGATTTTAACTATGGGTCATTTGGAAACAGTCTCTCCGTGCTTTAGTACAGGGATAAGACTGCGTACATCCAACCCCCCTTACCCCACCATAGGTGGAAGCCTTTGCAGTGCTGGGGTAATGATGATGATGATGATGATCATCATCATCTCTCTGCGGTCCGCAACACAATTGTCGGATTAAATTTCCTAAATTCGATTGGTAGAGAAAAAAACAAGTTTTGCCCATAGTTGAATCCGCTACGTGTAAGGTGTTAGAGACTGTATAACCAGGCCCATTCCGCCAATCCAACTGTAAGTTTTGGGTCTTTTGTATATGAGCCGCGTGTTCTTTTTCAGTTGGGGTTAGGTTTTACTCTCTATAAATACACGCTCTCTCCTTGTAATCATGATCAGAAAATAATAGTAACATCCTGACTTGATTGTGCTCCCAGACGTAGTCATTCTTGGCGAACTGAGAGTTACCAAACTCGTGTGTTCTTTCTTGTCATTTTTCGTATTGTGATTGTTTAAATCGTAACACCACTTGCGTTTCCCATAAATTCGTCCTCAAAATTAAATCTTCGTATTAACATAATATGGACACGAAAAAGCCTTGGTTGAAGTTGTCTCAAAAATATGAAGTAGGACAATTTCAATAGTGAACAACTTACAATAAATTTCATATTAAGCAGGGTTGTAGATGAGGGTGTGCAAAGCGTGCCTTTGCACAGGACCTCCAAAAATATAAGGCCCATTTTTTTGTAAAATCTATATAGTTTATAATTATATATATACATGATAGTTATTTTTGAAAATAGTTCATTACTTTATTTGCTCGAAGGATCCAACTATTCAGGTTATTCAACCAAATTGAAGGTAAAAAATTAACTTTTTCTTATCCTGTTTTCATTTTTTCATTTCTGATTTTAGATATTTTTACTAATTTTATTTGTTCGAGTTCAAAAAAGTGATCATTTCTCAATCTCACATCTATTTGTAGTTTTTTTGGGGTTTTCGTAAGGTTGATTTTTGGTATTGTATTGATTTAATATAAGGCTTGTTTTTCGTTACTTGTACCAGGTCTCCTAATTTATTGAGCTTGCCCCCTGATTAAGCTACAAGGAACTTTAAATCAATACTTTGGAACTCAATGGGAATGCGTTGGTAATTGTACATCTCTCACAATTTATATAAAAATAAACAACACAACTGTATAATTAGGAAATACTTCCATCACTCAAAATTCTATAAATGTAATTTTAGATGTACTAATATGGCTAGAAACTTCAAACCAGATCTACATATACTTATGTAATAGTATAACAAACCATTTCTCATCCCTAAATTTTCATGTTAATGTTTCAAAGTTGAAGAGATATAGCCTTTCTCAGCTCATTGATGAGTTCTGTGTTGCAGAATTTTCTGTCCCATATACCTGCATCACAATATAAGTAGGTAAATATTAAAAATAAGACTCACTAAATTAATGACTCTCATCATATAGTTACACTAATTATTGACAAAGCCGTATACTTCTTTTTAGACAGTGTCAAATCAATTTTCTCAAGTGAGCCGAATTAACTTTGTATATCATATATAAAGACAAAATTATATTATAAAAATGACAACCTAATGTAAAAAATGTTCCAAGACTTTGTTTTTGGCAAAAATAAAAGTTTTGTGTTCCAAGACTTTGTTTTTGGCAAAAATAAAAATGTTCCAATAAATGTTTTTGGCAACCTAATTTGTAGTCATAGATGACTTCAGTGACATGTTCGCATAAAGCATTGACCGGTTAGAGTATTGACCGGTTAGTATCTTTTTACCATTAATACTTCCCAAAAATACTTCCCACTTTCCTTTTTGGGTCGTTCTAAAAAATACTTCTCACTTCCTCTTTTTGGACAATTTGTGTGGTTCACATTCATTTTACTTTTTTCTTACACAACCACTATAATACATTTCCACTTTATTCCACTTTCTTAATAAGCGTGCCAAGTCAACAGAGGTAGTAGTATTATTCACTATCCTGCAATGTTATGCCGTCAATTAGTAATTTTTTTAAATTTATCATATTTTTTTCATTTATCATATTTTTAATATTTAAGTCTAGTATAATTCATATTCCGCTCGCTCCAATCCAAATTCCTGCATCCGCTGATCCGCCCCTAGGTTAGCTTTCTTCAAATTGCGATAAGTGTGACTTCAATACAACATTATCACTTGTCATCTACTTAGCTAAATAGACACTATACATATAGATACATACATGAACAGTGCAAGTTGTGCGTGCATACACATACATATAGGTAAACTACATGAATCTGTATGTATATATGCATGAATGTATGTATGCAGAGGTGGGGTAGCTAGGGAGGGGCCAACCTTGGCCCCGGCCTATCCCAGATTTGAAAAATATCTAAATTTTTAGTGTAAAAAATTTTGTGTAAATTTTTTCCAGGAATATTCTTTATACCGTCCAGTGCCCTGGCTCCGCCCCTGAATGTATGTGAACGTATTTTCTAATGATTTACCTTCCAAGCATCATGACGGTGGCCTGAGGATTGGTTCCAGGGGAGAAAGAAAAAGTAGAGCCGTCAATAACCCGCAACGCATCGACGCCAATTACTTTATAATCATGATCCACAACCCTACCCACTTGGCAACCTCCATGGTAATGCCATATGGTCATAACAGTGTCAATGCAAAATTGCTCCAAGGAATGATATGGTAAGGAGGTAAAGAGTTTGGGCCTCATGTTTAAAGGAAGTGCTGTCATGATGTCTAGAAGGGCTTCAAAAGAAGTGAATGGGTACAAAAATGAGGATAAGGGCTCTGATTCAACTACTCTTTTTATGACTTCCATTCCCTGCACACAACTCTGAAGGTCTCTTGAGTCTTTGAAGTAATTGAATGTCACTGTGGGATTCTCATTTGGGTCCCTACTATTGAGTTCCAAGTGCCCTTTAGAGAAAGGTCCTTTCACCTTTTCCAGTAAAAGCCCACCTTCAATCTTTGTATCCCTAAACAGGTCCCCTTGGAATGAGGATTTCAGAGCATTTGCTAAGGCCGTGTTTGGGGCCAAATGCAATCCACTCCCTGTTTCAACATAACTCCCAAATTCAGTTATGCCAACTATCTGAACCAGTGCAGTCTCCACTGACTTAAGTGAAGGCATTACAATTCCATTCATTGGGTTGTCTGACATCTCTTGGCCCACCATTTCTTGATCCAATATTACGTTAATCCCTTGTGATTTGAGGTGATCGGAAGGCCCAATACCACTCAACATCAAAAGTTGTGGACTACCCAATGCTCCGGCCGAAAGAATGATCTCATTCTTCGGGCCCGCGTTCAAATATGACGTGTGCTCATTGCCCTTTGAGTCTTTGAAAAGAACTCCATAAGCCATTGGTCTTTTCCCTGAAATGGTACATATAATTTAGTGCAACTGTTTAATTACCGACAACATATAATTACGCGTGCAAATGTTTTTATTTAGACTGTTTTCAACTACATTTAAACAGATCAGACCAGACCAGACTTTCGTAGTTATAAAATACACAAAGACCAGACATTTACCAAACTAGACCAGACCAGACCAAACCAGATTAGATCACCAAATTCAATCCAAGTAAAAACATCCTTAGGGCGGATCACGAATTTGGGCTGGATTGATCCGAAAATTAACTATACTAGACTTAACAGTAGCAGATGAAAAGTAAACAATTTACTTTAAAAAGATTAAAAAATTAAGTTGTACTTTGTTTTCACCTCAACATAACCCTAATTTAGATCGCTCATGTATTAGAATCCCAAAAGGACATTAGTATAGAATCTCAAAATAAGCTTTTTTTTTTATCAATGTAATTCGCTCTTTTCTTTATAATACCCCTTTGAGAGTCTAGAACACCACTTTAACAACACAACATGCATAATGTTCCATTCTTACGCTTTCGTGTCACTTTATTTCTTAAAAATGCTTAAGTTATTTCCCCAGAAGACCTATACTAGTAAATTGAAATATTAACTTTTTTCGTATTAACTCCACTAAAAATCTCTACAATATTATAAAAAATAGAGTTATCAAATGATGTCTACTTTTCACAAAAATATTTCTGCAGAGTCAGACCGACTGAAAATAAAATAATATAATAAGAAAACAAAGTACAATATAGAAATGATATAAACTGTGGAAAAAGCCCGCATTAATTTTGAAACAGGAGATCATCATTTATTTCGATACTCTTCATTGTTCATGCATGTATAATTTCTTCCTATCTGTTTATAGTTAATTAAGTACGCTCGTACTCCAACTTTGAACCATAATACTAAACACGTCTTGCTTGTTCAATGCACGATCTAGTCAATGCAAAATTTGTGCCCATAGATACTTGGTCCTTTTATGGAGTAGAATTTCTTTCTTTTATTAAATGTCATGACTTATTTGTAAACATAGCATTTTTTAAGAAATGAGAACACGAATGTTCCGATGAATTTATATAATTTTAATTAGTGGTAAAATATAATGTGATGCATATTATTTCTTTGATCAATTCACTTTTTAATCACCTTTCCGGTGAAATTAGTGCTCAGTTCAGTGATAGAGGCTATTGTAATTCAAATTTCTCTATTTAGTTAAAAAGCACATTCAAATATTGAAACACAAGAACTAAAACTCGATCAGGATATAAAATTAATATTCAAAACTACAAAGTTAAAAGGGATCACATTGGAATTGGAAGTGGATGGTAACATTGTAGCTCTATTTGAGAGGGAGGTAATATATAGAGAAAATATATTACCTCAAATAATTAAGAAGCCAGAGCTGAAAATATTTGTCTTCAATAATGAAGTACTAGAATACATATAAAAAAATTACTATATTAAATAAGACTAAACTTTAAGAGATCAGACTAAATCAAACTACCTCCACCTCATTTTAGTTAGCATCTTTGATTTTTCCAGTCAAAGATGATAAACTTTGACCAATTCTTTAAATAATATATTTAGGCAAAATTTAATTATTTGATACTTTTAACACATAATATTTTCATATTATCAATACGTATGTATATACCTTTATTAAAAAAAATACTTATGCATATACCGGTCAAAGTTAGACACCATTAACTTAAAAAGTGAAATTTGACCAACTAAAATGGGTGCGGAAGTACTTGTACTAAAGTAACAATATTTCAGCCTATTTTTGTCGGCAAAATAAAAGCCGAATGTACTACGTATTTAACTATTTGTAGTAATGACAAAATGTATGGATCAAACAATAACAGTAAAAGAAAGAAAAAAGACAGGAGATTGAATAAAGTGATTTGACCTGGGGAAGACGTCCGGAACAATATTTGGTGAACGACGGCATGCAAATAAACAGTAATTTGGGATTCGTCGGCGTACTCCAGCAAATCGGCGGCGGAATGCCGAACCCCATTTTCGTCATAGATGGAGCTCCCCGTTTTGGTGCCCTGCAAATGCTCATTCGTCCACCCCCTGTCCGGCCCCACCCCCGCCTCCAGCAGCCCTTCCCTCACCGCCGCCTGCCACCCCATCACCCGCGGCCGGAAAGCCACTTTCCTCTCCGCCCACTCGTACGACTCATTCACCAGCTGCGGGTCCCACCCCGCCGCTGCCACCTCATCGCTGCTGGCTCGCGTGAAGAACCCCGCGTTGATCGCCGAGCTCCCGCCGAGAACGCGCCCGCGGTGGAGGTACACGCCGTCCGTGGAGACGAATAATTGTGAGGCGGAGGTCGGGGAAATGTCGGCCAGTGTGGGCCCGAAACCACTTATGTGTTGCACATTTGGGTAGTCGTACGGCAGGCCGCCTCTCTCGAGGAGTAGTACCTTTGCGGAGGCGGAAAGCGTCGCCGCCAGTGCACAGCCGGCGGTTCCGCCTCCGACAATTATGTAGTCGTAGTACCCTGCTTCCGCTGCCGCTGACGTGGCATCTTTTGCAAATGAACTGTATGGCGCTTCATTATATAAAAACAACATATAACTCCATTCGTTAGCAAATTACTCCGTATAATACAAATTTAAGGATATATTGGCATTAAACAAAGATCAGATAATAGACCTGAAACCACATAAAAAAAACAAATCACCGGCCAATATGTTTTTATGGGACCAATATATCAATATACTTCTCGCATTCCTTAATAATGGTAACAATTTTAATTTTACACTATTTACACGCGTTATTTTGATTATCATTTTATACTACGTAGTATATATGCTCCGTATAATCAAATTATTATGTGTGTAGTATAAATTAAAATGCCATTATGTTTCTTTTAATGTAACTTTCCAAAATATTACACTTTTATAATGTTTGTTAGTACATAATTATATATAATTATAATCAAATTTGTGTGTTGGTATACGTGAAAATCAAGTTGTTGCAATTAAAACAGAAAAGAGATCTCTTAATGTTTTTTTAATGTAATCGATCAATATACTAAGGGTATGTTATAATTAATTGAGAATTGTAAAAACTGATTTTACCCAATTTAAGAATTCTTGTGTTAAATTTATATATATTTGTTCACTATCAATCACTCAAGCCCATGCAATGCCTTATTATTATTATGATGATGATGATTCTTGTGCTATACGACGTACTATTGCTCAAATGTGAAAGCCATGTTCTTACTTGTACAAATTTCAATCTCTAAATAGATCAAATTAGATCAGACTTAAACAAATTAATTCAGGTCAACATAATATAATGTGCAATATAATGCCTTATAGTCTTATACTAATACTGTATAAAACTATTAAAAATATGTGCTTATTCAAATATCTTTTCTATCAATAATGAGATACGGAGTATGACATAGTCCATGTATTTGCTGGAGGTCGAGTCTTTCATTTTATGTGTGTGAAATATAATGAGAACAAAGATGGATGCATGACTACTACCTACTAATAACAATAAGTCTTAAAAAATTAACATGGTTGCATGGCGCAGGCACACAATTAATTAAATGGAAATCTATGAATTATCTAACAAAGTAACAAATTAAACATTATGAACAAGTTATAAATATCATAGGGAATACTTTTATGTACCTTTTTCTGCAAGAGAAGATATGATAATCAAGAAGAAAATTCCCAGCGAAGTTACAACAAAGGGAAACCAATTCGCGAAGGCCATAATATATATAAAGAAATGTATATATATTTTTGATGAGTACTAAACGTACAAATACGTATGGAATGAACAGTGCAGCTCTCTAGCAAAGGATGGAGCTGCAACCGGACTAATTAAGCTTAGCTTGTCTGGGCATAGACTTTTGCAACATTGCACTATTTTTCCGTAGAAGGAAGCGGGTTTATATAAGAAATACTACGTATGAGAGGATACTGTTAATTAATTAAGACTTTAATAAGCTAGGAGTCCATCCATGCAGCTGGGAGTTAGGAGAAACTTAAAATAGGCAAGGGAATTCATTACATAAGACTAAAACATAGACAAATTTATGATTAGGTCCATCATTTTATCTTCCTAAAATAGAATTCATTCATTCATAATTGGGAAGTTTTATACTTGTAATAAGATCAAATAAGTCATATTTTGAGAATAAAGCATAGCTTATTCTATTTCCATAGTCCTATTTGTACGAGGAGGAGGAGGAGACGCCAGCAATGCATAATCAGAGGCAGGAAGTGGAGCGGCGAAGTTGGCTTGATGGTGGCGGCGACAAGGAATAAAACAGAGAAGGGAGTGAACGGTAGGAGATGAACTTATGAAACCTAGAGATTGATTAGTATATAAAAGGGTATAATAATAATCTGGAGTTCTTTTTAAGGAATTATAAATATGTAGTCACTATTAGTTAGTGCAAATTGATTAATTTTTAGTTGAATTTAGAGCAATTATAAGTATACAAAAAATGTGGCACTTCTTATTACCAATCAAATATATTTATATGTTTATGCGTGTGCAATTCCAATCGTATACGAAAATAAAGGTGTTTACATAATAGGGGCCCCTACATAATAATACGTAATTGTGAAGTATTAACTTCTAATGCAGGTGTGTTTCTTTCAATTATTCATGGTGTCATAAAATGATAAAATCACTCATTTACAAAAACGTATTAATTGATGGGGTGACTTGAAGACTTCATCTGGGTTTAGGATTTTGTTTCTCAGTAGAAATTGGTTTTATAATTTGTACGATAAGAACCCAATTCCTAATCAGATTAGGTTAGATATTTAGGCTGGAAGAGTATTTTAAATACTCTTAACATGTAATCTAATTTGGTGTGATCTCGTTTCTCAATATTTGTGTTCTTATTTTGCTCTCTATTCGGCAAGGTTGGTTATTTGGAATTCGGCAAGACAAGATGGCTGAGGTGTGTACTTATCAAGATTGATAAGTTCACCGGAAGAAACAGTTTCGGCAAATAAACATGTGTGCTTTATTGAATCAACAAGGGATTTGGGCTCCACTGGCGAGAAAGACTCCGGCCGATGAAACAGAAACAATAAGTCAAGAAGCGAAAGCTCACTCGATGATCATGCTGTGTTTAGCGGATGACATTATCACATAAATTTGCGAGGAAAGCACTGCAGCTGGTTTGTGGTTAAAACTGGTGAATCTCTACATGACTAAGTCTCTAACCAACAAATTGTTTCTGAAACAACGCTTATTCGAACTACATATGGAAGAAGGTGGTTCACTGAAAGAACATCTGGATCAATTGAACACAATCTTACTTGAGTTGCGTAATATTGATGTTAAGATTGAAGACGAGTATGTTGCACTAATTTTTGTTAGTTTCATTACCATTGTCATATGAGAACTTCATACAACCATTCACTGTTGGTAAAGAAACGATTAGCCTTGAAGAAGTTGAGTTAGCGTTACATACCATGGAGTTGCGGCATAAGGCGGCTAGTAACACAACATAAACTCAAGCGGTTGGATTAGTTCCAAATAGTAGTATGAGATAGGAGAAATCTAGGAGAACCAAGTCTCTAAGGGGCCCTCAACCGGACGATATATGCAACTATTGCAAAGAATTAAGACTGTGGAAGAGGGATTGTCCTAATAGAATGAAGTTGAAACCTTCGGCATCTGTTGTAGAAGAGAATAACTCTAGCTCTGAGGATGAAGTGGCTCTAGTGGCAAATGAACAAGCATCTTATGAAGGTATATGGGTACTTGACTTTGGGGCATCATATCACATATGTCCTAACAAGGAATGGTTTTTTTTACTTATGAGGAAGTAGATGGTGGGCACATTTTGATGGCTAACAATGCAGTATCCAAGGCTGTGGGGATTGGTTCCATTAAACTCAGGACCCACACCGGTAAGATTGCTACTTTACAGGATATCAGGCACGTTCCAAACATGACAAAGAATCTGATATCACTTCGTGTTCTGAAGAATAAGGGTTTCAATTTTAAAGGAGAAGGTGAAAACTGTGCATAAATAAGGACTCATCAGTGGTTCTAAAAGGAATAAAGCATGGCACCTTATACGTACTACAAGGGTCTATGATTACAGGTTATGTTGTTGCTACCATATCTTTAGAAGATTGTAAATCTGATCTGACTAAATTATGGCACATTCGACTTGGGCACTTAGTAAACCCTGATTTTGGTTAATCAGGGTTTACTAGAAAAGCACAATGTAGGAAAACTTGTTTTCTGTGAGCATTGTGTTTACGGAAAGATGCACCGCTGCAAGTTCAGGAAGGCAATTCATAGTACGAAGAGCACACTTGATTATATCCATTCTGATGGTTGGGGTCCTTCACGAGCTGAATCTCATGGAGGCTGCCGATACTTTCTATATAATTGATGATTATTCAAGAATGACTTGGGTAATCATCATGAAGGAGAAAGGAGAAAGTTTCGTGAAATTTAAGCAATGGAAAGATTTGGTGGAAAATCAGATGGGGAAGAAGATCAAAAGGCTGTGTATTGATAATGGCCTCGAGTTTTGTTCAAAGGATTTCAAAGAGTTCTGCAGAGATGAAGAAGAGTCAGGTATACACCTTAGCAGAATGGTGTAGCGGAACACATGAATCAGACGTTGTTAGAAAGAGCTCGAAGTAAGTTTCTAATGCGGGGTAAGCAAAGATTTTTTGGGCTTAAGAGGTAAGCACTGCATGCTACTTGATTAATCGTGCACCTCATAAAGGTATAGATTGCAAGATACCTTATGAAGTGTGGTCTGGAAAAGCTCTTGATTATTCATATCTAAAAGCTTTTGGGTGTGTTGCTTATTACCATGCAAGTGAAGGGAAGTTGGAACCTAGACCTAAAAGGGGAGTGTTCGTAAGATATCGGGACCTAAAAGGCTACAAAATCTGGTAACCTTCAGAAAGGAAAGTTATTGTTAGCAGAAGCGTGATTTTCCATGAAAACTCTATGATAAGCACTTATGTTATGGATATGGTTGAACAAGAGAATGAAGATATACAGAAATAGGTGGAGCTACAAATCATTTACAATGATCAACATGCACATACAAAAATACATATCCGTGAAGATTCTGGGCATACAGAGCATAGCTCACCAGAGGTTTAAGAAGAAAGAGTAAATATACCAACAAAGAATTAGAGGCATGATATTGCTCGTGGTCGCACTAAGTCAAATCTTCAACCCCCTACACGTTATGAGGATTATGTGATGTATGCTTTATCCGTAGCAAAAGAGGTGGATTGCTCGGAACCTATCACGTACACATAAGCTATATCAGGGAGCGAGGAAGCTAAATGGCTTGCTGCAATGGGTGAAGAAATGGAATCATTACCCACAAATCAGACTTGCTTGAGAAATTGTTAAAGCACTATCTTGAGGAAATATCGTTACTTGCATGTGGATCTTTACGAAGAAGGAAAGGATATCGCATGTTGAGGGTATAAAGTTTAAAGCTCAGTTAGTTGCAAGATGGTTCACACAAAGGGAGGGAGTTGACTACAATGAGATGACCTCACCGGTGGTTAGACATACTTCTATCAGAGTGCTGCTTGCAATATTCGCACACCAACATTTAGAACTTGAGCAGTCAGATGTGAAAACGGTTTTTTTACTTGGGGAGGTAGAAACAGGAAATTTACACGACTCTAGCAGAACGATTTCAAGTTGCAGGAAAAGAAGATCATGTGTGCAAGTTGAAGATGTAATACTCGAGATTAATTTAAAAGGATTAATAGTACTACTCATACCATTTGCCAAAAAAAATACTACTACTCATACCAACAATGTGCATCTCCTTTTAAGGAGCTCATCTCTTAAGAACTCCAAGTTAAACGTGCTTCCAAGGGAGTAGTCTTGGGATGGGGACCCCCCTGAGAATTTTCTCAGGGCGTGCACGAGTGAGGACAAAGTGCACAGTAAAAAGGTTCGTGGTGGTTTGTGAGGAAGTACTAGAGGTCTAGAGAGGATATATGAGTAACTACCCCGGGTCCTACGGGCTACGGGGAGGGTGTTACAGAAGAAGTCATTGTATGGACTAAAGCAGTCTTCGAGACAGTAATATAAGATGTTTGATGGTTTTATGATTGAGCTTAGCTGCACCAGGAGTCCATATGATTGTTGTGTGTATCACAACATAATTCAAGATGGTTCAATGATCTATGTGGTCTTGTATGATGGGTTTTATGATGATGGTGGCGTGGCACTCTGGTCACCTGGGACAGCCTCCTTCCTGAGAGGGTCATCTGGCAAGGGCGCCTTCTCGTGGCTGCGAAGTAAAATTGTACCATCCCTTGTAATGGTCAAAGTGAAAGGGGCTTTTATGTTGATTGTTTTTCACTTATCTTCTTTTGTCGTGTCACTTTGGTCTCACGGGGTAGCCTCTTGCCTGATAGGGTCATCATGTACAAATGCCAAAACCAATTGGGTTAGAAAAGGAAGTATTTTAGACGGAAATATTTTAGAAGGGAGCAACTCACCTGTTTGACAAATGATATAAGCCTCTTGATAGCAAAACTCAGCACGTCTTTACTGGTTTTTTAACCCCAAAGAAGGCTCTTTTCAGTATTGCTTCGGAGATGACACCTTAGAAAAATTCAAGAAACAAAAAAAAATCAAGAGTATAAATGTGGCTGATATTTATACTATGGATGATATTAAGGGCGGATGTAAGGTATATTGAATGGGGGCACTTGCCCCCAATGAAATTCAATGATCTATCTGGTCTCTTGTATGTAGACGATATGCTCATAGCTACAGGAAACAAAACAAATATACAAAAGTTAAAGGAACTCGTTAGTGCGGAATTTGAGATGAAGGATTTGGGTCCAGCTCGAAAATTTTTGGGAATGGAGATTTTTAGA